GGGGGAGGGGGGGAAAAAGTTTAAATAGCAAGAGAAAAAGGGAGGTTCAGGAAACAAAACATGTCCACAGGGAAGTGACAATGAATCACAGCAACTATACCTAAGTTCTCACACTAAGAACTGAAGTAGCAAGCATCTGTTATGCTTCAAAACAAGAATTAGTTCCAGGATAATTCAGCCAAAATTAAAGATGGGAAATACTATTTTAAACAACTCAAAACTGAGTAATGCAAAAATAGGTTTGCATGTTCTGTTTATTGGTTATTTTAAAAAAAAAATCACTACTAAGCAATTTGTGAACAGGGGTCTGTGAACAAGACTTCATTGGCTACTAACAGACTGTAGTAACTAGCCCTTCTAAAGGATATAAAGAGACAATGCTGGGGGCAGTGAAGGACAGGGTGGTATTTTATGTAGGCATAATGGGTTTCAATTTGAGGGAAAGACAGGAACTGTTCCTTAAGTCTGTTACAGCTTAAGCTGCAAACACTTGAAGAGCTAAGCATAAGATTGAAAAGTCTACAAGTAACTGAGTTAACGAATAAGCCAGTTTCTCATGGCACTGGGACAATTATGTCTGAACATTTACACACAGCATATCAATACTGTAATTTCTTTTTTTCCTGTAGGCTAAAGTGAATAATGCCAGCCTCATTGGAATTGGCTACTCTCATGCCCTCCGACCTGGTATGTAAGTCTAACTGGTAGCAGCAACTAGTATTAGTACTACACTGGGTTATTCTACTGTTTTCTCTAGAACAGAATAAAGTAGCTAGAAACCTTACACAGGCTTATAGAAGTAAAGGATGTCTATATACAGAAATTCCTATAACCCTAAAGCAACTAAGACACATTAGTGAGGCTCAAGTACTTAGGGCAGCACATTGTACAGGGATATCAGTATATGAAGAGTCTCATTACTTACTTTCCTAGGTGTAAAGCTGACCCTCTCGGGCCTGATTGATGGCAAGAATTTCAGTGCTGGTGGACACAAAGTTGGGCTGGGGTTTGAGCTGGAAGCTTAAAGCAGCTTTAAGCAAAACAACAGGTGTTGCTCTGGAAGATGAAGGAAAAGTGTACCCAGTGTGTTTCAGCCTTAATAGTACTCTGAAATGTCAAGAAGTGTGAATTTTCTAATCTTCCAAAGAATCATTTTAACCTAACACTGAAGTCCAGAGAGCGCCAGCACATCAAAGGAAGACACTTGAAGGCGTGCATGGAGGTCGTGATGTTTGTGCCACATTTCAGTTCAGTTGCCCATATTTTTACATCTGTTCCTAAAACCAGAACAAAATTCCACCTCTCTCCATTACTGGATTGCATTCTGCATGTCTTCTACTTCACAGCCTTTGCTAAAAGGTGGTCTCTGTGCTGTAGTAGAATTTTGGGTTTATATCAGAATGAAATAAATTGGTCACAGTTGGAACATACGATGCTGATGTGTGTTGTCTCTCAAGTTCAGAAAAGTTATGGTCCATCCAGCTGTGTACTTCTTTTTGTGCAACTTTTAGCATGGTTAACAGATAAACTATACACACACCCTGCAGATTCCCTTCTCTGCAGTCTTTTGGCTAAGATCCTTACACTCCTCATGTTTTAAAGACCTGCACCCTGAAAGCAGCTTTAAAATATTATTGAAAGTATCAAAAAGAGCAAACCACAAGTTTACATGTTTTAGATTAATTTCGTTCCCATACAGGAAACAAGTATTAGGTAAGCACAACCATAATACTTAAGGAAAAAAGTGCAAATCAGCAAGGTTAAGAAATCAAGTTCACAGTTAAGTATATTAGGAAGGTGACATCTACCACTGACTGTGCAAGCTGATTGCATGCATCGTCCCATGTTCATTAGAAAGCCTGAAAGGCAGCAAAACAACCACGTGATGCCTAAGAGAAGATAACATCAGGACAGAGAATATCTGCTGTCTTAAGGCACAATTAAAACCTTGTCCGAGCACTTACAACAGGCATTTCCTACTGTATCTTTGTGAAAAAAGTCTCCAAGATGTGGATACTAAAAGCTAGGCCATGTGCATCACATAAGCAGTAGGTAACAATAGAAGGAGGCACTTGAACTTCTTTTCTCAGAGGCAGCAGCTTTTCACAGTTGGCTTCCTGAAGCAGCACTTCTTCAGAGGCAACCAAAGTGATTTTATATCGGGGTTTGTTCTGGACTGTTTATTTCTTCTACCTGAAGCTGCAGCCAGCTCCAATCTAGAGCCTAAAGAATAAACGGTTAGAACTACAGCGTCCAGCACTAGCTTAGTTTAGATTTCTCCAGAGTAAAGGCGAAGCAGTTTAAAATATTTAAAAATGCTACTGTGAACACCTTAGTCAATATAGTTTTGTGGTGAACCATGCGACTGCTGTAAAGGAAACCCTTAAGCTACCTACTTTCTGTAATATTTTACTTTCTTTTCTCTATTCTGCTTCATTAAGTAAGCATCCCTGCCCACCAATGTACTGCCACTGCAAGACCATCCCAATTTCAAGAGCCAAATTTTGCAGTATTTTTGTACAACAGCCACATGCCTTCCCCCAGCCTTCATTGTTCAGCACAGTTTAAGTCCCCAGTGCATGGCTCCTGTTCTCAGCAACCAGGGAACATGAGTCACCAGTTCCAGTGGGGGACTTCTATCTCCCACAAATCGTACTTGTCCAAAAGAGTAACATGCAGATTTCTATTAGCCATATTACTTATTGGTGGAAAAGTTATACAAGCAGAACTCTGAAGCCAAGAGCTACCCCAGTCCATTTATACAAGAATATCAAATATGTTACCATGAAGCTCTGTTCCTGATCCTTCACTGTCTCATGCATCACATTTTCTAGTTGGCTACAGAGTTTCTGAGATTCCAGCAGTAGCTCCTCACTGAAAGGGACAGTTATTACACAATTATTTTCCATAGCAATTTTGTTTAAAGAGATGCCACCTCTACCTTTAAGAACTATTTCTGGTAGGTATGCTGCAGAGCACTGAAACATATTAAACCTGACCAGTTAGCTCATAAGCCAGCGATTCATATTGCAACTGGGAAAGTCAGTGGCATCCCCAGATTTACTGGGATAGAAGAAAGGAGGTGTATTCCAAGTTAAAAGTTCTTATTATGTGGAGTCACTGTTACTAGAGAAAAACTTGCAGAACAGCCTATAAACTAAAGGATTAAGCAATATAAAAATAAACAAACCAAGGTCTATCGTTCCAACTGGTGGTGCAGTTCATTTAAGGAAACCAGAACTACATGTGCTTGGTTATAGTAGTCTCTCCTTTATGACATAGCTCAGCTACTACCATCTTACATGACAATGCTCCCACAATTCCTGTTGGCAACATACTTCAAGTGAGCCAAATGATTCCAGATAAACCAAACCCTTTATAACTGAGGCAGGGGAAAGTGAAGGTATACATTATTCCCTGTTTTTCATAAGATTCACAAGCCCCAGGAAGTCCTGCTACTATGTAGGTAAGACTCCTGACAATGGAAGCTGAACGCAAAGTGTGAAATGTGACAAAGCCTGTGTGTCATCATTTCACAACGCAGGAGCCTCAGCTTTGTATTGCTAGCATTAGCAGCTACAGAACGCCAGACCTTGCCTCACCTCTTCCTGACAGATTCTGATAAATTGTAGGTTCCAGAAGGGACCTGCAGCAGCAGCTGACCAGGGCTACCAAGACGTGATGCGTTCATGCTCTCTGGACTGCCAGTAACAGGACCACGTACTTTACTCTGAAGAAAACACAGAGGATTCAGATGGCAATTATTTCCACTAATTTCCAGCAGCTAGGAGTATGAGATAGCCTGAAACTCAGCTTTAATAGTAATTCATACTAATAGAAAAGAAACATAGGACACACTGAATGTACTATTAATTATTTCAGTAATGTGTAGTGCATACAGTATTTTCAGGCTAACCTGGAAGTTTTCTTTTACTTACACATGCAATTTTCAGCAAGTTCCACAATTCTTTTTGTCTTTTCTCCTGAAGTCTAACTACTGTTTCCTCATCTTCATTCATCAAAGTCATCACTTTTTCCACTCTGGGGAATAACTCCAGTGCCTTCTGCTTGCAAACTACGGTTTTACTATTAAAAAAAACAAAACCAAACCAAAAAAAACAAAAACCAAAAAAAAAAAAAAAAAAAAAAAAAAAAAAAAAAAGAAAACCCAACAAAAACAGATCACACATGGGCAACTGCAGCAGGGGACCATATTTCTATAGTTTACTCCCTGTAACACATTGAGATCTTAGCTGTACACACCAGTTTTTAAAGCTCTAGAACAAAATCTTTTGCTGAATGAGAAAATGGTTTCTCTCAACCCTCAACAATAGCTGACTTTACAAAGCTCACCTGAGCTGAGCATAAATGACTCGGACTTTTTTTTCAAAGGTCTGGATTGCCTGCAGGAGCAGTCGCACTATTTCTTGGCTGTCACCGCTTGTCCTCTGATCTGAAATGAGAGCTATAGTATTACACAGAAAGGTAGGCTTATAGGACAAATTGAGAAGATTCTTAGTGGCTTGTTTCCACTGCTTCTACAATCCCCAAACATTCCAAGTTCAGGGCATGCAAGTTTGAGTGGGATGAACTGCACTGGATTTCAGCCATCTTCTTCAAAATTATGAGAATGAGAAAGATGAGTTGGCAGGGTCAGTCTAATGCCTTGTGGCTGTACAGCTGCTCAAAGGAGTACTATGTCCTTCATACTTCCTACACAGAACCAGCAGCATATGCTTGCAGCAACAGCTTGCTCTGAGAAGAGCTCCAGAGGAGTTTCAAGAGCTCAGAAGGTGCCAATAAGAAAGACTGGCCTAGTTTAAAATTGACTCCCTGACTCCCTTCTCCAAAACCAGCTAAGTCCAGTGCAGTCCATATGCAGCTAGTGTATGGGTAAGTCTAGAATGCAGCGTTTTCTCAGTGCTCATCACTGCCTCTCTCTCCAAAGTTACTATCCACACAGAGCAAGTCGACAATGAATTGAAATGTCTTTACCTCGTGGCTTCTCTCTCAACCTCCGGTACAGCTCCCTGGCTTGTTCTTCTCTAAAGGAAAGGCACAGAACACAAAGAACTTCTCTAGAACCTACATTATGAACAAGTTGTTCAAGAACTCAAATCTTTTATATACCATTTTGGCATTTCGGACTGATGACAGGTAAGGAGTCAAAAAACTTAGTGTCAAAGTCCTCCCAGACCCCCATATCATTTGGGCTGAAGAGCCAGCACTTTCATTGTCCTGCAGTGAATAAGCTTAGCTAGCAATGCTCCTGCATCTTAAGTTCAAGGTAGTTCAACTCACAAATCCTCCAGTGTTCCTCCTTGTTTACGACCTAGTGGGCTTCTCTGCAGGTCCACAATGTCTGTCTGCAAGGCCATCATCCTCTTCACTAGCTGATCCACATCATCCTCCTGAAAGCAGGGTAGATCACAAGCAATGATCTAATTGTTTGCTTTCCCATTCAGTTTACAATTTATGTTCCATATCTTCTTTTCAGCTATGCTGCCTCCAGGATTGGGTTAGTGGGACATCTGAGCACGACCACTGCAAAATACCCTCTCACATTCCCCAAGATCTCCCTTTTCCCCTTAAGCCTTAAGAGATTCCTGAAGTACTGTCAATGAAAAAAAAAAAAAAAAAAATGGTGTCACCCAAACCAAGAGGCAACGTGACATTTGGAATCAGCCCAGACACAAGAAGTTTCTATTTAAGGGAAGACAATGAAGAGGAAAGGAAAAAAAAAAAAAAAATAAATAAAAACAAGCCACTTTAAGGATAAGGAGTTAGATTTAAAAACATACCCGCCCACAGAGTTCCACAGCTTGCTCCATCTCTTTCCAGGCAAGCAGCAGCTTCTCAGAAGCTACATGAATGAAAGAAGAGTGGTTACTTTTCACAGGTTCATACAGAAAAAGGTATATATTTTGTGGGGCAAGAAGCAAAAAAAGACCTGTTTGCCAGAGGCTCTACTCACTAATTCCAAATTCAATCTGCTCTTTATACTTCTCCAGATCAATTTGAATGCTTGTTTTAAAGAAGTCCAACTTGGCTTTCAGCTGCTGGGAAAGGGAGGCCATAGAATTCTTCATCTTTGAGAGGGTACTATTGTAACGCAACAGATTCATCCTGCATGGACAAGAAGAAGGTCCTATTACCCTCCCAAACTAAAAACAGACATATCAAAAGTAGATAGTGTAACAGTGAGCGCAAAAGCAGTTGTGTCAGAGGACAGAACCTTCAGTTTTTCAATTGTTAATGGCTCCACTCATGGGCCATTGTGGACCATGACTGTAATGGACTCCATTACAACAGGGTCTTTTCACTTTCACCAGGGAGCAAAGGCAGAGTAAGTATTCTTGAGAAACTGGCACCGTACATGGCTGCTCGCTGTCCCTGCTGAAGCCGGTTACAGTCCTCTTTC